AGGGATGAGTCTGATAATCAGCTATGAGTTTTGTAACAGCACCAAGTAGTTCTGCCTCAGGACCTAGCTACTGTCCTCTAAATGAGGAGAGCAACAGCACCAGCAGAGCACACTTTGATAAGCCACAACACGCACAGAGCTACGTTCTGTCTAAACAGCCATGAATCACTCTAAAAGAAACGTCTCAGCCAGGATGTTATCTTGGCTACCCTAAAACCTTCTGCATTTAAAAAAATAATAATATTTACAAAAATTACCTCCCCTTCCTACAAACATCTGATTCCTAAACAGCAACACTGAGTTTTCCCTATTACAACCACTTCTAGCAATTCACAGGTCAGATGACAACATGCTGCTGAGTTCTGTGCTGCTCGGGACCAGCTTGTTCGGGGGAACTCACATCGCCCTGCCGTGCTGGTCAAGTTTAAGCCTTGAAATCCTTTCCACGTAGCATTCAACCACAGGCTTCTGGCCTACGCACAGAGCCTATGGCATGAAATTTTATGATCTGTGTCATTCGTGAGGTCAGAGGGGATTATCACAATGTTCCTTTGTAGCCAAGGTACCTCTGAGCCTTGGCATAGAGGCCACCCTGGAAAGCCATTCTCAGACAACTGCTTTAATTTGGACTCTGAGCAGTCCTTGAACTCTGCTTCAGGAGAAAGCAGCACTGTCACGATAACAGCTTCACAGCTTTCAGTCCTCCTAGCAAAAATAGTGCTTGCTTTGTGTACCCCTCCCGGTCCCGCGCACTACGCAGGCGTCCTCTGCCCAACTCTTACCTCTTGCTGCAAGTTATTCCACAAACAGCCCGCAGCTGAAGCAGTAATTGTCTGTCCTACAGTCTATCAATTGAAATACGGAAAATTATTTTCCTGGGGGCAGTGGAGGGGGAAATTTCGATATAATTGGAATGACCTAGAGGGATCAGAAATTTCCTAGCCATTAACAGGGTTTCCACAGCAAGACCACCTTGGATAAAGTAAGCAATGTCTCCCCACTGTTTCATTCATTCAGGAGTGCTAGCGCTACTCAGCAATGGATCAGATCACTGAATGCCTCTTTCTGTCACGAGATGAGTAATTCAGGAGTCCCGGTAGGGGGGAAAGCATCAGAAGCTCTGGATTACCCATTCTCAGACACATTCAGTTGTGGAAGTGAGCCATTTACCCTCCATGTGACTTGACTTTCCTGTGCAGAGAGCAGGGATATTTGCTAATTGGATTAGAATATGCCTCCTTTGGGATTCATCAAAGCAGTGCAAAGGCGTATTTACTTCTTTCCCATCTTTTAGTCCGTTTAACCTTTTCTCTTCTCTTGCCCACCAAGTTGTATAACAAAGAGGGAATGATGCACAGGACAGTAAAGGTAGCCACTGATCTACAGGAAATACTTAATTACTTCTTTGACAAAGAGGGGCTTATAGAGAACAGACGCAGCTACCGCAGCTTTGCGACTTACCTCTTGCCAGTTGAGCTGCACTATATGCCTGCTACTTCAAAGTAACCCTGAAGACAAGCACTTTCTTCTCCAAGGTCATGTAGCACAGCTCAGGTGACAAGTGGTTATGAGACACAGTAAGTTTGTCACCTGCACAACTTCCCACACCCACAACTTCCTCGTGTGATCCGCTTTCCCCCATACCAAGCCTACCATCAGCTTCCAAAGCTCATTTTGAGGCTGCAGTGCTAGGAGAGCCACTTTACAGCGCCACTTGACTCTCCTTGCAATTTAGCTCGGTTTGTTTTAAAAAACAGTAAATAAAAGCAATCCAAAAAGCAAGCAGAGGTTTCCTCTGAAGCGTGCTGCTGGTATTGCTGAGGCACCACCCATGGTAGCCAGTTGTGCGTCGCCTACGCAATCAGCAGCACATCCGCCGGCGGTTCCAGAGCATTCCTCACTTTGGGAGGCTGCACATGTCGAGAGGAGAGCGAAACTGCGCTCCCCATCTCCGCCGCACGTCAGGGAAGGCAGCAGCTGCACAGGGGCGCGTGCCAAGCGCGGGACACTGCTCTTCCCGTCGTGTCCTGCACGCGAAGGAACATCAGCCTCTTCAACCAGGTCATTATTTTGCTCCTTGGAGGAGCTATTCAAGCGCACATTGAAATTCTTGGCCCACACAGGTAGGGCTGCTGACAGAGCCAAGGACAGCTCAACACCTTGCTGATAGCAGGACTAGATGCAACCTCCCAGGACCCACCGAGCCTCTGCATCACACAGATGTGCTGGAATGAGAACAGTTTAGTGAACAGACACATGTAATTCTGAGTGTTTGTCCTAGCTTCACCACTCACTTGCTGTACTCCTCTAGTACGTGATACAAAATTTTGCCTTCACTCAAATATTATCTCCATTATTCTCTATCCTACCTGTAGAGTATGGGGAATGGGATTTGTAAAGTACTGTATCATACTAAGCCACTGACACTTCCTCAGAAACACTTTTTAAAAATCTCATTTCTGTGGCAGAGGCACTAAAGCAAAATAACGGTGAATCAGGGACTTTAAATTTTCTTTTTTTAATCTTACCTTAATTTCACAGGAATACTATTTGAGAAGCAGATGGTAACATAAGTTCTCTCTCTCATAAGGAGCTTGAGTATCTGCCAGAATTTGGTTGCTGCAACTCCGTATAAATACAGGTATGCTCATCTCTTTCTTCCCTTTTGTGCCATTCCAGACAGAAACCTGCCTTGAATATGAGCTAGAAATTAATCATCCACAAAGAAGTTACAGAGCAGCAAAACATCACAGATCTGCCCTGAACTTTTGATACTCACTCAGCCTAGAACATATCTTGGACTGCAAATAAACTCCTCTCAGCACGAGTCCTCAAAGACAGTACAGGAGCTGGTGACTCCAACCTCTCCTGAGCACCAGAACAGGGAGGGCAGAGAGGCTGACCATTAATATACCCTTAACATATAAGGAACTCTCTCACACCTAACATATAGTTCTGGATTAAGTATGGCTGCATTCAAACACATACCTGTCGGCTCACTTGCTTAAGGCTGACCAACCAGTCAGGAAGATATATAGCAGCACCAGGTGAATCTTTTCAATTATCTTCACCATGGAGAAGATGGAGTTACCTGTATTGGAGGCCACCACAAAGGAAAGTAAAGAAAAGACAGCAAACTCCATAACGTTATACTGCAGGAGCAGAGCCCCAGTTCCAGCATGAATTGACTCCCAATATGGATCAGCTCCATATTCAGCTAGCAGCTTGAGAGACAGTCCCCTTAATAAATACATACATGAGAGCTGTGAATATGAGAGGAAATCCTTTTATCTAGACAAATTCAGACTTCCTACTTTAAAACTGCAGGCCAGCTCCTGGTTTAACCTTGAGTTTCACTACAAAACTCTGAAAGAACTGGCTTTGTAGACATGCCAAACAAAAACTGTTTTCAGCGAATTCTGTATTTTTCCACCTCTCCTATTGTAGCTCCATCAGCAGGATGGCAGTAGCAAATCCTCTCTTATCTCCCTCCTCTCTGAGGGCATCTCTCTCTAGGTACCAGCTGACTTGGACAGATCATGTGCATGATCCCTCTTGGAAGCTGGACAAAGAGTGGGGTGGGAGAGTCACTGGACTTGTAAGCAACAAACCACAGGAGATGATCAACTGTCATGCAGAGGGGAAGTAGCAGGAGGAAAGAGACGAATAATGAACAGAAAAGGGTGCCTAAAATCCTCCTCAGATTGCTTCTCTGGGGGAACAGCTGTTTCCTTGTAAACATCTTGCTAGCTGTCCAAACAAGTTCAGACACAGAACAATAAAGGAGAGCACCCGGGCAGCAGTGTTGAGGCAAGGGTTCATTCACTGCCCTGCCAACTGCTTCAAGTGGCAGAATCCAAAAGGCAGGGAAACTTTGCTGCACATTTAACCCTGCATGTGCTGCCACCATAGCTACTGGCCTGCAGAATTGGCCTTCTCTTTTTCTGTGGTAAAGTCTTTCCCAGCCCTTGTTTTCTCCACCATTTCTGATACATTAGGAGAACACATGATGTGACAAGGGGAAAGAGAAATAATCCTCACCAAAGTGAGCAAAAACAGCAGAGCCAGGCCAAAGAATAATCTGAATACAGCAGCCCTAAAGGCCTAGAAAAGTCCTACTACTGCAGCAACATGAGCAACCTAGAAGCAGAGGGGGTTAAACCAGAGAAAGTAAAAAGAGTCTTTTCACTAGTCCTGAGCACAAAGCAGCCTACACTGGCAGCAGCATTTTTATGCCAATACAACTGTGTCTACACAGGGCTCTTGCCAGCCCTGCAAGGTAGCTGCGGGCAGGAACACGGGCAGAGCCGTGCCAGGAAACGCTCCCGGGGCCAGGCAGCCACCTGTGCCGCACGGCGGCGAGCGGGGACGGCCACCGCGCTCATCCACTCCTCAAAGCCTTTCCGACTCAAACACGTGCGCGCAGCTCCGGGAGCAGGGCCCAGCCCCAAGAGGCCACACAGCCATTTAACAAAGCAGGGAAATCAGGTCACACAAACAGCCCTCAGGGAAGGCGGTCACTGTGGAAGTAAGGCAGTCCACAAAACAGCAGGAGAGCAGAGCTGTCAACAAGTGAACCTACCTTCTGAGCCCACAGTCAAGCTTTCTACAACTCCTTTTCCACCTCCAGTTGTCCTGCCTTGCCTTTTGTACATTCTGCTCAACACAAGCCACGCTTACCCTGGAAACTGCATCTCCTACTTTACTCAAATGACCTACAGAAGCAGGAAGAAGCAGGATAAGCAAAATGACACTCTCTCAGTTAGCAACAACAAGCAACAACTCCACATTTTAGAAACAGTCAACAAGTTCACAGGAAAGATCTGATGCAGTCGGATATATTTTACCTTTTTATTTCTTTTGGGCCATTTTGTTGTAGTTGTGAACAAATAGCCAGGTAAAAAGACATGCAGCAAGGGCTGCTCAAAAATAAACCCTTGGTCATTACAAGAAGAGACTGAGAATGCAAGTTCTGATGATTAAAATCCCTCTGAGCAGCCGGCTTATTGTGTCAAAGTCCAAACCAGTCGGGGACTCCACCTCGTCTGGGGTCACCCCTCTGCCTCTGCTGCTCTTTCTCGATATACTTTTTCCTGAAGTCATCAAAAGAGCGAGCTTCTGGCATTTCTTCTTTTTCTGGAAATAGGTTGGGAAACTGGAAGGTTTGTCCTTGGCCCTAAAGAGAAAACGAATGGTCAAAGAAACAGTTCAGCCTTTCTGCAGTAGCTACAATGCCTACGTTTAAAATTACAAGAGAAGATCACTGTGAAGTTTCAGCTGGTGCAAACCATTACCTACCTGTTCCCTCCCGAAATCCCTTCCCCACTCCCTCAGACACACACACACACACACTCCCTCCTCCAGTATCCTAATTTTAAGCGTCTTCCCTTCTGTGTTCAAATTAAGACAGTAGCATCGCTCTTTGAAGAATGAATGTGAATGATCAGAAGATGGGACACTTCTTAAAATATTCAATGTCAAACCAGCCTCAAGATGCACTGAGTCATACAGTAACAGCAAGACCAATGCAGTAAGTGATTCTGTTAAAGTTAACACCATCAGCAAAACACATGAAGGGTGGGGGGGACGAGAGAGGGGAGGCCACACTGGTCATATTAATACTTAGAACATGGGTAATGGTTACAGTTGTTTAGATCTCATCTAAGTACAACAGAGACCACAGTTCAGGCCTAGCAGCTGTTACTACAGGGGGCAATGTGGGAATACAGAATAACAGATTATCAGAGCTCTGTTATCAGCAGAAATAAAAACTAGAGTGTAAAACAATTACAGTGGGAACAATCTGTCTAATACATCAGTGATGAGATTAAAGTGATTACATCTGCATCACTCATTCTGCCTAACAGACAAGTCATTTTAGTACATCATCATCATCAGATCTATGTCTCCCACTTGGAAAATAAACATTTGCTTGGTCTCTGGTTTTTATCTAACAGCAGGAAACCATTATTCTGTGGAAATGTTCTATCCCATTAACATTATCTACTTACTTTCTAAGTGGTGTTTGCACTAAGCACAACTTGATTAAATTCAATGGTATCAGTCCTTCCATTTCTTTCCATTCAGTATACAATTTTGCATAATAAAACACTTAACTATTAGAGATTACTTCATAATTATTCTCCAAAATACTTACAAACCTTAGCATTCCTGAACTTCTTCAGCAGAATATTGCACACAGAAATCTCAACAAAAGCATTCAATTATCTCAGACAGTTTTGCAAATCACTCATTCTGTACATTTATGCAGGAAATAAGCAGCCCAGAGCTCTAGTTATGAAATGACTGCAAAAAGGAGATCAAATGAGCCTTCCACAACATGGCTACCTAGAGTATACACAGGAACCAGAAATACAACATAATTAAATCTGAAGAAACTGTCACCATATCCTTGACCCAGCTGAGTGTGTGCTACGATTCATTCAGCCATATATGTTCAACATGGTAATTTACAGGTGTGAAAGCATTGAAATCTCAAGCATATACTTTGGAAATAAAACGAAAAAAAAAAAAGAAAAAAAAAAGAAAAAAAAGAGACTTATTCCAGTTGATCTTATCCAGACTAAAATCTAGGAAATATCAACTCATACACAGCAATGCTGCAGTTGTTTTTGTAGTGCATACTTCTTGGGGGTTTCCTAAGAGCCTGACCATACTACAAAAACAACAAGGGAGCCGCTGTGTACATTGCTCTTTCCTAGATTCTCGCCTGGATAAGCTCAACTGGAACAAATCATGCTTTTCCTTTCCCCAGTGTATACTCAGGAGTTTAAATTCTTTTGTACTTTTAAATTACCAACAGGTATGCCTACCAGAGCTGTCCCATGACAATTAAAGCACAGTTGCATTTTGAGGCACAGACCAGGTCTTATTAACGTCCCCCAACTGCCCCAAAGCTGTAGCCCACTGAAACTTCCAGGAGTAGGAAGCAAGTACCATCGAGGCTAAGGACTACCCAAGACTTCAGCATACAAAATTTACTTACACTGAAAAATATTACTATGTTCTAACTGCACTGCAAGCAGGCCATCCAGCTCAATGGCACCCATAGCACAGGCTAGGCCAATTCTAAGGACTCCACTGTGGAAAAAAGGCCAATTGCATGAAGAAATTGGAAAACACTCCAGGCAAACATGCTAGACACCATCTACACTGAAAGTCTGAGAACTATTTACATTGGTAACAGTCTAGTAAGTGGCTGTTCTTTCACAGCACTTTCCATGGGTTCTTTTGCAGCACCAATTGGTTTCCAGCACCAACACACTTCCCTGACTGCAGAAGTGAAGGAAGTTGCCCCTAAATCATAGGAAAAACATCCATCGTAATTTCACTTCACTGAGTATTGCAAAATAGCTTTTATTAAAAAAAAAAAAGAGAGAGAAAAACACACACACACACACACAGAAAGAGAGAAAGAGAGATGTGAGATGTGCACAGAGGCTGTAGTGAAACCAGACGAACCTTTCAGCTGTTTATCAAAATGCTCACAGCTCCCATTTCAAGACTGGTGAAAGTCAAATATTGAGCTGAAAATGTCAATCTGCATCTGGAGTCTTTTAATAAATAAAAATCAGCACAGACATGTTGGCTCTTTCCAGACCTTGTTTTGTGGAGAAATTCTGATTTTGGCTGGTGGCCAGACACGATTTGAAACAGCCAAGACATTACACCCTGAGAACTGAAGGTTGATAAATCTTCAGTAACAATGCTATGCAGTAATACTGCACTGTAAAACTCTGGAGTGATGAAAACTGTATGAAAAATAGCTGTTGTGCATGCTCAGTAGCTAGTTTTCAAGAGCAGCCTGTATTTTGGGTATTTCAAAATTTCACAAATATCAAGAGGCATCAACTTACATAAAGGGCTGAGAGTCCATCCAGGCATATTTACATTCAGTGTGTCTTGGACATGATTCCAGAGGCTACCAGAGTTTTAGCTCACATGTCACCTTCTCAAAAAAAAAAATGTCCACCAAAGGAATGGATGGATCATCACTCTCTGATGTACTGCTGTTCAAAACAATACTTTTTTTCTTTTGTAAAAGTTGTCCCATCTACAAAGTATCTGTTAGACAACCACGCAAAAGAAAATATACATCCTTAGAATGAAATCCTAATTGGGGTAAAATTAGCAACTAAATTTCTACTTTCTAGACTGCTAGAACATGAACTGCTAGCATGTGCAATCAGAAAGCAAAAACAGGGCTTATTCCTAAACCTGACATTGTTCACTGTGTTACCTTTAGCAAGCTGTTTAATCAGGGTCCTTCCTTTGGTTAAATTTTGAAGATAATAAACTGAAATGGGCTCTAAAAAAAGCAAAGTTTTGGCCTTCTTTTAGAAGGTCTGGCACACAATTACCTTAATTAAGAGCAGAGAGGCAGGGGGGAGAAGACAACACCACCCTCCTACCTGACACAGCTCTGCCAAAAGAAAACTCTAGAAAGGTAAAGATATTGTTAAAGAAATTATTTTGCTTACATAAATCAATCTATTTTGGAACTGGATTCTGAACTGCCTGCAAAATAATTTTTCCACCCATGTGAGGTGGTAGAGCGAAAAATTCTGGAGTTTTTCAGGACAAGCTCTAACACCAAGTCCTCTTGTATCTAAATATACTGCACAATGCTTTTCAGAATTTAAAAAAAAAAATCTATGGGGGAGTTGTTACAGAGGGTACTGTTGGCATAAAATAAAAGGTACTGTGGTGGTTTTATTAATTGATATCCTGGATTTAGAGGTCTTCCCAGAGACTTCTCTATTTGCTACAAGTATTTACAAGCAAGATACGTGGTTCAATGTTTAGACTACAGAACAGGCACCACTTCTACTCCTGCCCACATCTGATCCTATTTTAGCATTATCCAAAGGTAAAACCGGCTTACATACTAGCTCTTATGAAGATTCATTTCTTAAATACTAACATTCTTCGACATGGAAAGTGACCTAAGCACCGAGCAAATATTTTCAGCTTACATTTTAGTCTTTTTGGTTATTTAGGGTGGAGTCACACCTTTTTCTCAGAGTCTACAGAAGGAGTTACCACATCAAGTGGTACAAATTGCCTCCATTCATTTTAATGGGAGGTTAAGTGACCATAATTAGGCCTATGAAGTCAAGTGTTAACCTTTCCACTGCTAAGCCTCATGTCAGAAAATTGCAAGAAGGATTATCCAGCACAAACGCACTTTTATGACCTTTGCATCCCTTCAAAAGTTTAGGAATAGTAGGTCAGCACAGATATTATGGTGTAGGAATGACGCAGCAAACACTGGTCATGTAAACAACTGTGAGGTCTTCTGATTATTTAGATAATTGAAGCACTTACTACTGTCCTTCAGAATTAGGAGAAAAGTGATGTTTATAGTGTCGTTAACCAAAAAATGTTGGACTCCCAACAGTGTGGGATTTGGTCCAGCAGTAGCAGCAAATGCAGCTAAGTTTAATAATCCAATGCATTTGAACAATTCTCCTACCATCTCTGTGGTAATATCTGATGTTAAAACAACAAGTATGGCCAAACCGCAGAGAAAGCGGCTTTAAAACCCACATGGCAATGCCAGAGCATACAGAGAATCTACTTTTCCTCTAAATTCATTAGATACAAGAAGAAAAATGCTCCCACATCTAATGTGCAAATGGGTTAATTACAATGAATGTACAGGACACTAGCCAGGCTTTGAGGAGAAAGCATTTGCAAAAATGCTCCCACTTGTGCCATCATTCACGCAGCTAAATAGGTGTTAGTCCTGATGTTGACAAGGTCAGACTCCTTTTTACAGCCATCTCCATTAGATTTCTCAAAACAGGTTTAATTAAAAATAGGTCTGGATTCCAGAGGCTTGTCTACACTTGGGCTCCCACAGGTGCTAACACCTGTTGAGCTAAACCAGTGAGAACACTGAAGGTGGAGGAGGGAATGTTGTTGTTTTTTTTTAATTTCTCTGATGTTGATGCAACTGTAAAGTTTCCCACTGGCCTTTTTTCTTTTATATAACAGTAGGATAATTCTAACTTTATCAGAGTAAAGAAAAAGGTTGTTGTATGACATTCATTCATGCTGGCAAAGATATGACGCTTTGATTTTAATTAAGAAAATAAAAGAGTGTGAAAAAGAAGCATTTGAAAGCTATGGCCAGGAGTCTATAACTTAAACCTTTCTCACCACATTCCAAAAGGGGAATAAAAAGGTTGGCAGGCTCTGGAATGGCAAGATATTGTTGATCCACAGCCTTCTATGATTTGAAGTATTTTTCTAATGTTGAAAATATTATGCTTGGACTGATCATTTATTTGTCCAGTTACAGCCTGAGAATAAAGTAAACAACTCTGAATCTCAAAGAAATAGTATTTGGAAAAGAAAGGACAACAATCCTTACATGTGGGACAGCTGGGGCACCAATCTGACACTTAATGGTATATTGACTATGACTTCATGCACCTTTCACCTTTAAGGCAGCAGGTTGACATATATGTTGTGTGGGGACACATAAGATGATGTTTTTATGGAGCAGACAAGCATAGCTAGCCATGAGAATACACTCAGCTTCATTCAGGTAGACCACAGTAGAGCTGCCAGCAAGTCACCCTAAGAAGAGCAATACTTCCACCTAGCGAGCGACAGAAAGATCAACCCAAGAGCTTCCAAAAACAAGCACTTATTTTTCCAGACATAAGCAGATTCAACTTGAAATTGGATTAATGAGAGAAAACACAGCTGGTAAAAATGGTGGGAAAGCCCAGCTATTCTGACTCATGGCAGATGTAAAATAATTCTCATTAAAATAGGGATTTACAGTGGTTACCAAAGACTTCCCTAAATTAGGCAGATATTAACAATGGCTGCATCGGGCCTGCGGTGGCCAAAATCAAACCATGAATGAGAATGAAGACAAAACCTTTGTTTTCAGAACTGACACTGGACTCCTGACTTCATCCACTGTCTAAAGGTGGTGTGAAAACAAAAACGGGAGCTCAGTGTCCAAGGCACCAGAACTAGCGGTGAATGGAGGAAAATAAAAATATATATATATATATATATATATATATATATACAGTGAACCAAAACATGAGGAATGACCAACGCTCAGTAAAGATGTACGTCTGTTTGAGTGCTGAGAAAGAAGTCTCCAAAAGTACAAATATCACCAGCAAGCACCCATGATAATGAAAAGTATCTGCATTTACCTACTAACCAACAACACAGAGAAGGCAATTTGTGACTAGCAGATAAAATGATTCCCTGCGTTAATTTCCTCAGCTATGTTCTCACTGAATCATTTGTACCTGATGCCTCACAGACAAAAACTTACACACAAATAGCCTTTCCTCCATCTTCCTTGAAGAGGTGTGTGTTTTTCTACAATGCAAAATATTCATGCAGAGGAGCTTAGCTTTAACACAGTAAACTAAGACTAGGCCTGACCTAAGCATAACTGTAACTTTCTATCAACAGGGCATACTGTTCCTTCAAAGATAAAGGCTGTCCAGTGAAATACATTGTCCTCACTTTTCTTTCCCTCCCTCCCCCAAGAGGGAAGAAACTAAGAGAAACTTCCAAGCTGATTTAAATTCTGCAAAAAAAAAAGAAATGTCAGATTCTCAATTGTCTGTGTATCTTTAATTTGATCCCAAGGGCATATAAATTTTTATGTAGTCTTTAAACTGTAAGATCATGCAACGCTCCCCATACATCCATACACAGATCCCTTGTATGGAGTAACACCGAGTTTACATTGCCAGCAGCAATTAATAGCCCTCCTTTAAAGTAATTTCTATGTAGGAAGGGTGTTATTATTATTATTATTATTATTTTCGATTGGTTGGGTTTTTTTACATGGGGACAGGTAAGCCAAAAGAAGTCAAAACTGTAACATGCTCCTGTTATGAAAGAAAATTTTAAGAACATTAAGCTTCTTTTCCACTGGGCAGCCAACATATATTTTAGAACCCAGCTTAGCCACAAAGCACACTTGCTAGACATGACTAAAAGCTCTCCAAGGAATATGCCTTAGTCTTCTCCAAGATTCAAAGAGCTTTAATAAAAAGTTCTCCATCCTTACGCTATATTCTTTCACTTACTGAACATTTCAGCAATCAACCACACAAGTGGTGAACCTTCCAGCACAGTGAGTACAAGGTCAGCCTGAAACTTACTGGCAAAGCAGCACCATATGACATCAGACCTTAACTTACATATAGACCTCAAACAAAACGGGGCTTTAGAACCAACTATTTATTTGAATTTGCTCACTAAATCATTTAAGTCAGTAAATCTCTTAATGCAGCCTGGCAGGTATTAACAACAATGTCTTTACTAAAGGACTGGCAGAAACATGCAGCCAAGTGGACAATTCACTGGTCATTGATTCTGGCTTGGGTGATTACCAGCCCCTTCCTCGACCCCAACACGCACCCATGTTAACTCACCAGCTGTACGTAGGCAACCTTGTAATCTGGCTTCTTTATTCTCTGATTCTTGTGGTTCCTTCTGTTGTGGGCACCTGCACAAAGAGAGTCCTCTCCCATTACTTTCCTCAGCTTGCAAGTTCCCCAAAGCACAGCCAAGCCAAAGGGGGTCTTCTTTAGTTTTGATTTACTGCTAAGGGGAATATTTCTTCAGTACTAACACAGACACCCCTTGTAATAGTATCCCAACTATTAAAACATAATGAAATGAGTAAAATCCTACTCTCCTCATCCTCAGGGGGGAAATGGGGCATCACCAAACCCAGGCAGTCAAATGGTCACACAGAAAATTTGCAAGGGAGTAAGGAGGCAGGTCTGCCAGGTAAGGGGCAGAAGGAATAAATAGTCCTGACTACATCAATAGCTCTGGGAGACCAAAGAGCAAATGCCTCCTAAACAGCCACAAACACGTTACCCCTTATTGCCCACCTAACACTCTAGAACACGAGCATGATCTACTGTCCCACTGTTTTGCCTCTCAGGAAATTACACTATACAACAGAGGAGAAAAAAAAAATCACACACAAAGCATTTTGACTTTCAACAAGTATGTTGGTCACTGTGGAATCCCAAGTTCAATTCATTTTCTGCATGACAAACCTTTAGGATTTCAAATGATTATGTTTCTCTCACTCTTTCTCCTTTCATCCTCCAAAATATATATTCTAGCACCATTTCTAATAGCAGTGGCCAACGAAATGGCTAAAAGGACAAGCACAAATATTTTCCAGTGCTGTTTAGAACTACAAATATTTAGGTCTACAAGAATTTGATATTACGGCTTCATTTTTTATTTTTTTCACATAAGCATACGTGCAAATATATTTTTTAAGTGCCCCGAGTATTACAAGCATCTCTTAAAGCTTTAATTTTTCTTTCATTCCCATTTTACTCTACTCTAGCTTTTCCCCTATCTCTTTTTAAAATTCATGCCCACTGCTACTATTATATCAATCAGTTCCTTTGTTAGAACCAATGCTCAAAAAAAAACTGCCACTGAAGATGTCCTAACTGTTCATTTAGTGGTCTGCCTGCTGCACCTGGGGCTCAGAATAACTTAAAACAAATGGAAGGGGAAATGCTGGGGTTATTTGGGGTGCTGAGAGGGACCATGAGTGGAAGTGACAGGTCCGTAGCTGCTGTGCAATAACTTCAAGGGTTGAAAAGCTGAACATTTGTTAAGATGTTTTCCCAACTGTATCTGATGGTCCAATAAAATATTTTACTTCTTTACAAATTCTGCTTTTTGTTAAACCATACCACATCCTCTAAGTGCTTCCTCAATAACCTAGGACAATAATCATAGGCTTTTAAAAATATATAAGTTTATATGAATTTATTAAGAACACTTGAAAAAGTTCTTCTTGAAGTGAGACACCCAGCGGTCAAAGAGAAGTGGTCCCAACTACAAAAGGATACTACAGAAATCAGGCAAAAAACAAGGTTTTAAGGCTTTTCAATCTCATTTTTTGCTTTATAAAACTAAACATGTCACAATTTAATGAAGCCATTCAAATACACAGCAGTGCATATTTGCTTTAAGGAACAAATTAAGCACCACGTTGGCAGGAGTTGCCAGGTCTGTGCCTGCACCGGGGCACACTGAAACCTGATGCAGCTTCTGAGGAGAAAAGTGGCTTCAGAGCAGCGGGGCGACTGAGCCACCTCTCTGGGCTCCCGGCTGCACTCACCGTGCTGTATCCTGGTCCTCACCGCCACTACCGGCACGTTGTATATTTTCTCAAGGTAATTCTTGATATCCAGCTTTGTCATTCTAAGCAAAGAGAAGGTATGGGGAGAAGCGAGAAGGAGAAATACAACTGCTTGAGCCCCACCGCCAAAGACTCCCCAGCCCAGTCTCGCGGGGCCCTGAGTGCTGTGCAGGCGGGTAAACGCTCCACACAACACCCGCCACGGACCGAACCGGGTCGGGCCGGGCCGGGCCGGGCCAGCCTCACTCACTCCATGGAGACGCGGACCTGCGCCGTGTCCTCCGGCGGCGGCACCCCGGGCCGCAC